CGTCCGACTTTGGTCTCTTGTCAGGCTGCCGCTGCTCCTTTGCCACATCGGTCGCCTGCAATCTCAAGGTCACGTTCAGATGGATCCCCTCGGAGCTCAACCCAGCAGATGGCCCGTCAAGACGATTCCAGTCTGGTCCGGAGCTGTCTTGGCCCAAGCACGGAGACCAGTTCAGGCGTCACAGCGGCAGTGGCCATGCAGGAGGTCCGAACGCTCCAGGCTGCTCCGCCGTTCGGCCAGCCGAGCCTGCCAGAGGTGGGAAGCGCTTCGCCGACCCGGAAGCGAGCCGCTGGTGGTGGCGGATCCGCAAGGAGCAGAGCGCAGCTGCCGCCGCCTTCCGCCCAGGTGCGGGCACGCTTGCTGCCCCGCCTGGGCTGTCTGGCAGCCAACAAGGTGCGGCCGTCCACTCAGGTGCTCTACCTGAAGGTGTTGCGGCTGCTGGCAGGCTGGCTCATGGTGGACGCGCTGCCCGACTGGCCCGTGGCGGCTTGGGACGCAGCGCTGACCGACTTCCTGCTGTGGGCCTTCGACCAGGGAGTGGCGCGGGCGACGGCTGCAAGGCTTGGCGCCGCGGTGCTTTGGGGGCTCCCTCAGCTCCACGTGGCGCCCTTGCAGAGGTGCTTCCCGCAGCTCGCGCATTCGCTGGCGGGCTGGAAGCGCCTGCATCCGCCAGGCTCGCGCCCGCCTCTTCCAGAGCTCGTGGTTCGCGCGGCGGCAGCTTGGCTTGCGCACCACGGCGAGTTTGCGACCGCCTTGTGCGTCATGCTGATATTCGAGGGCTACCTGAGACCCTCGGAGGCGCTGGCGCTGCGGGCCGCTCAGCTCACGGGCCCTTTCGGCTCGGCCACCAGCGCGGGCTCGCACATGTCAGTAGTTGTGCATGCTGCAGAGTTGCAACAACCAGGCAAGACAGGCGAGATGGACCACACCGTTGTGCTCGACCTCCCGCGGCAGCAGGCCCTGGCTTGGGCCTTGGCGCGCCTCCGCGACTCCCGTCTGGGCTCCTGGCACCCGCTGTGGGACTTCGATTACAGCCTCCTCCTGCGGCGGTTTGGCCAGGCGCTCGAGGCTGTGGGAGCCAGCTGTTTAGCAGGCACGCTCTACAGCCTCAGGCACGGCGGCGACAGCCACGACCGCCTGACGGGCAGCCGCACGCTAATGGAAGTGCAGCAGCGCGGAAACTGGCGCGCCTTCAACAGCGTGCGGCGCTACGACAAGCACGGGCGAGTGGCGATCGAGTGGATGAAGATTCCAGCCCACCAGCAGCAGGAGATCGAACGTTTGGCCGCTGGGCTCGACGCCGCCTGCAAGCAGTACTCGCCTCAGCTGTGATCAGTAGCAAGGGACATGACTCCCGCATGTTCATTGAACTCTTCAGTGGCTCTGGCAACCTTGCGCGGCACTTGCGACAGGCGGGGCATGCAGTTATAGAGTGGGATGTCCTTCACGGGCAGGAGTTTGATCTTGCCCAGCCTGCGCCTTGGGCCGTGCTTCGCGGCTGGATTGCCAGCGGCAAAGTCAAGGCCATTTTCACGGGCACGCCTTGTGAGTCGCTATCGCAAGCGCGACGAGGCGGCCCTGCTTCTCGCATGCCTCGACGCCTTCGTGACAGCTCACACATCTTTGGCTTGCCGGGCTTAGCTGCTGCAGATCAGGCCAAGCTGGAGCTTGGCAACCTGCTTGCCTCTCGCGCGGGTCAGATCTGGCAGCTAGCAGCAAAGTTTGACATCCCGGTCGGTGAAGAGAATCCTTGCAGCAGCTGGCTTTTGCATTTTCCCGACAGAATGCGACGCCAGCACTCTCCCTTTTCTTCGAAGCAGTTGTTGATCAGTGTGCTGCAGGTCGTCCCTTTCGAGCTCGCACTAAGTTTCAATTTCTGCATTGTCGCCCCTCTCCTTCTCTCCTGTCTATGAAGTGTCATGGCCGCGGCGTGTGTGATTTTTCAGGACAGCCTCATCTTGAGCTGTCTGGGAAGGAGAGCGGCGCCGCTCACTTTCGCACTCACCAGAAGGCCGCCTATCCCGACGCTCTCTGCAGGCAGCTTGCTCGAATGTTCTCGCAAACGATTGTTGCTAGGGTGGTCTCCCGAAAATGGATGTTGCTTCACGGCTAAGCCAGTGCAATGCTTGCTGATGGGTACTGTGCTTTGTTGTAGATGGGCCGTTGCCGCCTGCCAAAGCTGCCCTGTGCCAGGCTCCGTTCCTCAAGCAGATACTGGAAAAAGATGATGCATGTACGTTGTTGAACTAGTTTGCATCGCACAGTTCCGTTTCAGCCCTGCTCCATAGTCTTTCTGGCTCCCAAAGCCAGCCCGTTGCCTCCAGAATGTCTCTTTTGCCGCAGGCCGTTGCCGCCTGCCAAAGCTGCCCTGTGCCAGGCTCCGTTCCTCAAGCAGATATTGGAAAAAAGGTGATGCACGGATATGTTGAAAATGAACGTTTTCCCAAGGGAATGGGACGATTTTTGCTAGTGGGAGCCCCCTTGGGACGCCGCTTAGGGACCTCTTAGGGACCTCGTGGGGCGTCTTGAAGGCCTGTTGGGCCGTCTTGAGGCCATCGTAGGCGCTTGGGAGTGATATTTCGGCGTCTCCCGGCTCTCTTGGACCGTCTGGAGGGCTTCTCGGGCCTCTCTTGGACCGTTTGGAGCCCTCCTGGGTTCCGAAAAGGGATCTGCCGGGAGTCTGCCGGACCTTGCCGGGAGTCTGCCGGGACCTTGCCGGGACCTTGCCGCGGTACTTTTCGTCCGGGGACCCCCAGGGCCCGCCCCGCGCGCGCGAACTAGAAATATTGTTGAGCAGTTACCGGAGATCTTAGCACGCCTTTGGCCCGTTGGGCCGGCGAATTTACCCGCCGCGCCCTCGACAGTCAGGAATCGCGTTTTTTTACGCTTTACTTGGGATTCGCGCCGCGCGCCATCGTTACAGCGTCTCTCGCAACTCATGCAGGTCTCACGTTTCAGCGACCCGCCCGCCCGACCCAGCCATCTGAGCCCGCCCGCCCGCCCCGCCAGTTGGGGGCCGCCCGCCCGACGCACCCGTCTGGTCATGTCGCTTGTTGTCCTGCTCTAGCCCGCCTCATGCAAATCTCTCTCATGCTCCATCCTTCTCCATCCCCCTTGCCCCTTCCTTCCTTCAACCCTTCCCGCACTCCCTTGCTCCTCGCTCTATGTTTTTCGTCTTGCCTCCTTCCTATTCATGTCTAGGACCTGCGCCAACTACAAGTGGCAAGTGATGAAGATATACCCCCAAGGGGGAGACATCGAAAACGAAGACGGTTGGTCTCGAGGGTTTCGTCGATGTACATGGTGATTAAAACGCGAGCAGATAAGAACGAACCGACTTAAAGTGATTGTCGTCGTCGCCGTCACCCCCTCCGCGACCCACCCGCGACCCACCCATCCACCCTTTCGCGACCTACTCTGAAACCAACCCGCGACCCACCCCGCGCCCGCCCCATCACTCTTACCCGCACTTGTGGGGCTCTGCACACCCAGACCCCCGATGTCATATACTTGCCATGGCGTGGACCCCAACGGTCTGGACCGATTCCCCGGGACCGGCCTCTCATCCTGAGTCGTGGTTTGGTGGTCCTGTGTGGCTCTTGAACGGCCCCCCGGGCCCGAAAGATGCCAAAAACCTCCCGTCGTGATTTGTTCGGGTCGGGCGAAAGGGGGGGATAGCAAAGGGGGGGTTTGAGAATCAGCTCACGTAGCTGATTTTCCCGGCGCCTCCCGGCGCCAGAGGCGGCTACTCTGTGTCCCTCAATAGTTTTGGGGCCCCGGACTACAGGTACCCCCCGGACTACAAGTACCCCCCCCCCCCGGACTACAGGTACCCCCCCCCCCCCCCCGGACTGCAGGTCCCCCCCCGGACTACAGGTACCCCCCCCGCACCACAGGTACCCCCCCCCCGACTACAGGTACCCCTCTGGCCCCCGGAACTACAAGCCCCCCCGCGTTCGCTACGTAGTCTCTGGAAGCCAAAGCGGCCCGCCAAGATGCGTCCGCACATTTTCACTTAGGCGTGCTAAGAATTTCGCCATCGTTGGGCCAGCGGTCTGGGGTGAGCACTCTCGACGGACGAGTGGGCACGGAAACGAAAAGATAACGAAGAACGGATCGATTTATCTACAAAGGAACAGAAAAATAAGCAGGGGAACGGACGAACAAAGAGAGAGAGAGATATATATATATATATATATAGGAAGAGAAACACAACAGACACATAATGATTGTCGGAATGACGGGAAGAGAGAAAAGGAAGGAGCATAAGTAGGGAAAACGATGGCGGTGGGACGGCAAGATAGTGAGCAGCAGAACGGAGGGGCGGATATATGGGAAACAGTGCGCAGAGAACGGGAGAGGGAGAGAGAGGGATAACAGAGAGAGAGAGAGAGAGAAACAGAGAGTGAAAGGGAGAGACGCGTCGAGAAAGAAAGAGAGAGAGACTGAATACAGGGGGTGGGACGGGAGGAGATCACGCGCGTGCGTGTGAGTCTGTGCGTGCATGTGCGCGTGCGCGCGGGCGTGTCGTGTGCAACGATGCGCGTGAGGTCCCGCGCGCGTAAGTACTAAACACCTGCGTGCGTGGAACCACGCGTGCTTTGAGGCATGACCATATATGCCCCCCCCCCCGGACTACAAGTACCCCCGTGCGCGCCCCCCCCCGGACTACGTACAGGTACCCCCACCGGACTACAGGTACCCCCTCCCCGACTACAAGTACCCCCCCCGGACTACAGGTACCCCCCCCGGACCACAAGTCCCCCCCCCCGGACTACAGGTACCCCCCCCGGACTACAGGTACCCCCAAAACTATTGAGGGACATAGAGTATGTATCGAGGAATGGGCCCCTCGGTGAGGCCGAAACCAGCTGCATGCAGCAAATTTCGTACCCCCCCCTTTCCCAATCCCCCCCTTTCGCCCGACCCGATTTGTTCTCTGCCCCCGGGCGCGATCGCCCCCGCCGGATCACCCCCGCCGGGCCCCCCTACGCGCGCAGGCGGCGGGCCCCTTCCCGCCCCTGCCGGCGGACCCGCGCCTGGAGCCCCGCGGGGCGCTGGTGCACGCGGAGGGGCCCGAGGCCGGCAGGCTCGTGGACGGCGCCTACAAGGTCCGCGGGGGGAGGGTGCGGGCCAGGGGGTGGGGGGAGGCAGAGCAGGTCGAGGGCGAGGGCGAGGGGGGGAAGGGGGGAAGGGGCAGGTCGAGGTCGAGGGAGGGGGTGCAGGGTGCAGGTCGAGCGAGGGGGGTGGGGGGGGGAAAGGGGCAGGTCGAGGTCGAGGGAGGGGGGAAGGGGAGGGGGGTCGAGGTCGGAGAAGCACTGCCCCAGCAAAGCATCCTGAGGTCGGCTGGTGGAATATTCCCCAATCAGAGCTTGCCTCTCTATAGGGGCACTAGCGGATTTAAGGGTAGGTGAGGTGCGCCGCCGATTCGGTGGCCGGGCCCGAGTGCCCGGGTGCCCGGGTGCCCGGGTGCCCGGGTTCGCCGCCGATTCGGTGGCCGAATTCGGGTGCCCGGGTGCCCGGGTGCCCGGGTAACTGGTGCCCGGTGCCCGGGTGCCGGGTGCCGGGTGCCCGGGTGCCCGGTGCCTTGTAGCCCTATAGCCTTATAGCCCTGTATCCCTATCGCCCCATAGCCCTATAGCCCTATAACCCATATAGCCATATAGCCATATAGCCATATAGCCCATATAGCGCCCAAGAGCCCATCCTGTAGCCCTATAGCCCTACAGCCCTCAAAAGATTATGTTTGGGGTTTCTCTCTGGTATCATGCATTCCTATGTCCTATGTATCCCCAGGGATTCCTGGGAAAGGTGCAACTGGGACAGGGGTGAGAGAGCACGGCCCCGTGCATCTCAATGTATGTTTTGCCAGGGATCGTGTGGCCAACATGCAGCCGGCATTGAGACGAGAGCACCATTTCGGAATCAATTGTGAGGAACGCTCCGACGAAACGGCTGCAGGACGGCTGCCGGACCGGGCGGTCTCGGGATCCCCCACCCCCCTTGTGGGAATCTTCTGTGTCTTCGGCCACTCGTAGAACCTCACCCTTCCCTCATCGCGGGAGCGAGAGGCCGAAGCACGGGAGATCAGGAGGCGGGCAGGCTGGTGGACAGCGCCTACAAGGTCCTGGGGCGGGGGGGCTTCACACCCTCGGGCAATGAAATAATCACAAGCCTTGAGACCCCGGCTTTGCAATTTGGGCTCAAGCCCCAGCGGCGCTGGCTCAATCCATCCTGGCTGAAGGTCTTGTCCCTCTCGCTTTTGGATTGTACGCCCCCCCCCATGGGCTCCCACGGTTCGTGGCGCGGCAGCATGCCGCGGGGATACCTTAGGTACCAAATTTACCTCCCAGGGGTCCGAAATCTTTTTGGGAGCTCTGGGAGGCTACATCGGCTTCCAGGGTAGTCGAAGTCACGATTTCGTCATCCGAACGGCGCCAGGAGACCACCAATATGGCCAAGACTTGCTTTAAACGGCCCAACGTGGCGCCCAAATCGCATGTTCACGCTGCCAAGGCGACCCAGGACGCGCAAAGAGCGCTGCGAAAGTCATTCCAAGAGGCCTCCTAGAGGTGAGAGCCACTGCTTCCCCACACGAGGTGTCGAAGCGTCCCGGCGTCGAGGCGCCTAGGCTGCGCGGACACCTCCGAGCTCCCCCACTCCTCCGCCCCTTCCCCTCCCTGGGGGGGTGGCCCCTGTCCCTCTCGTAGCCCTGGGGGCTCGGCTCTGGTGCTCCCAGCCCTTTCCCACTTCTGAGGCCTCGCCGCCAAGAGCTGGAATCTCCCCCTCCTCCTCCTCCTTCTCCTCCACCTCCTCCTCCTCCTCCTCCTCCTCCTCCTCCTCCTCCTCCTCCTCCTCCTCCTCCTCCGCTCGGCTCTCGGGTGGATGCTGGCGCGGAGGCCAGGCACGAGGCTCCCCCGGCCCCCGCGCTCCGGCCCCTCCGCCGCGCTGGAGGCCTGCGTGCCCGCTGTGGTCTGTGGCCCGGCCCTCACCACCCACCAAACCACCCCAACCCAACCCGAAGGCTCAGATTTACCCTCGGTTTCTAGTGGGGGGGGGGTCCGGGAACATCGAGAAAACACATATGGAGCCCATACCCTCCCCCAACCCGAAATCGGAGTCTTCGGGTTGGGTTGGGGTGGTCTGGCAGGTAGTCAGGCCCCCCGCGCTGGGGCCCCTCGGGCACGGCCTCTGCCTTGGCCCCTGCGCTGTATTGTCGCAATGTTTGCGCACCGGGCGTTTTCTTGCCCGGCTGCGGGCCCCACGGCTGTCACAGATCGATCCAGCTCGAGAGTTATGATGCTCCAACCTACTTTAGCCTTGATCACCAGGAATTTCGAGCGCCCCCAAAAAAGTACCGAAGCTCAAGGGTTTGCACGTGCTGGGCCCTGGGAGACACTCGCCCGACACTGTTTCGACACTGTTTCAACACTCTTTTGACACTTTTCTGGGTGCTCGAAACTATTTCTGGGATGCGGCCCTTAAGTAGGACGGGCACAACATAACTCGAGAGATGCATCAGAAAGGTTGGTTTCAGGGCTCCTGTAGTGATTTTCTGAAATATTGGATTGCAGTTGTGTTGGCAACGTGGGCTCTCGGGGGGGGGGGAACGGTTTTCCCCACATCCTGAGTAAGGTTATTGTTTTATCTTTTATCTGGACACGCCCCGCACCTGAGCACACTCATTCACACGCGCACGCATTTTAATAACCAGCACCATCATCAGCATCCTCATCACCATCATCATCACCATCATCATCACCATCATCATCAGCATCAGCATCATCATCACCATCATCACCATCAGCCCCTCCTCCTCCTTACCATCATCACCACCACAATTATCATTATCATTATCATTACCATTGTCGTTATCGTCGTCGCCATTATCATTCTCCTCATCATGATCCTTATCCTCATCATCATCATCATCATCATCATCATCATCATCATCATCATCATCATCATCACAATCATAATTATCGTCACACGCACTCGCGCACACGCACACACACAAACGTCCTGACTCACTTGCACGCCTATGCGGCCCAGCTCTGTTTAAAACGTCGGCGTCGGAGAGGGGGCGGCGATGCTATGCCAACGCACTTGCAATAATCTAAGTTAAAACACGCTCCTGCCTAGCTAAACTTCAGACACCCGACGTCGCGATCTGTTCACAACGTGGCTTCCCAGAAGTCTGGACTTCCTGCCCTGGGACAAGCTTTTCAGCCCGAGCCGTTTTTGACGGCCCTTGGGTCTGGTGCGGGACCCCAGGGGCCGAAAATTGTCACAAGCTTTTCGCTGCGATTTGTGCTGCGAAGCGAGGATGTCAGGCACTACCCCGCCCCCCTTCCCCGGAGATCCCTGGAACTCTCGACCCCATCCCCTGGACCACCGGCTATTTATCCTGAGTCGTCGTTGGACGGTCCCGGGGCCCAGCACGAATGGCAGAGAACGGCGACAGGCCTCCGCACCATTTGTGCAATACGTCGGTGGTCTGGGTCATTTGGCCCGGGTGGCGCCCGAGAGCCCGACCGAGCGGCCGCGAGCGCGAGGTTTTCGTCCCCTGGTTCGAGCGCGAGGGCGCGGCCGAGTCGCACCCGCACCCGCACCTGCCGGGTGCCTCCTCTCGGTGTGCGTCGCTCCATCCTGTGAGGGCGGGGGGGAGGAGCAGAGGCAGGAGGAGGGGAGCCAGGATGCGGAGGTGGACGTGAAGGAGAGCTCGGGTGATGAGGAGGACAGGGCCAGGGGCCAGGCGGAGGAAAAGGAGGAGGCGGGCGAGCCAGGAGGAGCAGGAGGAGGAGGAGAGCCAGGAGGTGGACGCCGCCGCCGCCGTCGCCGTCGCCGCGGTAGCCGCCGAGGACAGAAACAGGGCACTTGCAGTACCGAGTAAATGCGTGTTTGGGGCTCTAGCGGACCCGCGGGTGTTCCAGTCAGCGCTTCGCGGCATAATGGTGGTTATGTGTATAGATATACACACATTTGCATTTAGACGTACACATGCACCCACGCATAGATCTACATGTTGAATATTCCAATAATGCCGGTTTTCCATGTATGCTTATATACATGTGTTAGCCAGCATGCATCCAACACAGTATGGTGATAGCATTGTATGTTGATCGTTGTACCTATATATGTATATATAACGAGTTTTATGTATGTTGCTATCCACGTTGTGTACTCTGTGTGGTACCGTCTATGTGATGCACTCTATGTTGTGCCATCTATACTCTGCAACCGATGTGGGCACTATATGTTGTGCAACATATATGGTTAAACCTAGCTGGTGCAATCAATCTTATGCACACTATGTGGTGGAAATCAGGTGGTGCAATCTACTCGGTGCAATACATCCTGTGCAGTATATGTTGCAAAACCTATGCAGTGAAACCAGCATTGTGCACACTATGCTGTGCAATATATGTGGCGCAATCCATGTGGTGCAATATATACGGTCAACCCCTGTGCGATGACGAGGCGGCGACGGGTCGGCGACGGCAAACACGGAGCCGTCAGCAGACCGACACCCAGGCCCAGACGATCGGCGGCGACGAGGCGGCGACAGGGCAGCGACTGCGAGCGCGGAGCCGACAGACCGACACCCAAGCATAGACGAAGGGCGGCGGCGAGGCGGCGACGGGGCGGCGATGGCGAGCACGAGCCGCCAGACCGACACCCAGGCCCAGCTCCTCAGAACAGAAGTAGGAACCCCCAAGTGCAAGCATTGTTTGGGAGATGATTGTAAACCACCAAGTGAAGAGTGCGATCGGTGCACGTGCGTGCACGTGACTATGCAATATGCATGTGTAGTTCCACATACATGCACATGCACTTTTGTGTGTGTATCAACACCTATACCTATGTACGTACATGTTCGTGTGCTTGTATATGTTTATGCCATATGTGCAGATCTGTTGATACGTACCTTACAAGGGATTATGCTACCAGAGGCTATTATTAGCCAGTGTCGCGTGGGACATCTTCAAAATACTGAGCATGGACGCACTCATCGCGCAGATCGCAGCGTCACTGACCAACAACACCATCTTCGTTCAGCCGTGTTGCTCGACGTATGTACTCAAGCACACACTGGTGTCCAACAATGCTC